TGCGAGCGATCCAGCCGCCGGGCCGCTCGGTTTGCTCCGAGTTTGCGTCTTTTTTTGGGGGGAGGAGTGGAAATTGCTTTTTATTTTTTTAAGCTTTTATTTCTTGTTAATTACAGCTCACATTCAATATTATTTACTCTAGTTTCGGGTGCACAGCACAGTGATTAGACATTTCTGTAATTTACGAGGTGATTCCGCACCCCCTTAAGTCTAGTGCCCGCCCGGCACCATACATGCTCCCTGTGCTGCACTTTACATCCCCATAGTTTGGGTCCTTTTCCGGGGGGGGGTGTTAGTTTATTATTTTTATTGTTTTTGTTTCTCTTTATAAAAGGAATACTTCATCAGTCTAGGAAAACGTAAATTTTGAAAGTACCGAGAACAAAGGAGGAACTCCCTACAATTCAGACGGTAACGTTTTCGTGAACGTTCTTGCGGACACATATATTGTGTCAGTGCAGAGAAGCGTCTGTGTGTGTCCAACTTGACCTAAATCACACATTTTTATTTTAACCTTCTTGTTGATTTCAGTGGCATGCCACACACTCCTTCCTGTGCTCATGACCAGTGGTTTCTCATCATAGTTACTGGTACGTGGTGCCCATCTGTGGGTCCAGGATTGTTTTTTAATCGTCCCCTGAGGGTATGGTTGTTGTTGTTTTTAATTGATTTTATTTTTTATTGATTTGAGAGAGAGAGAGAGAGAGAGATCTGTGTGAAAGAGAAGCATGGATGGCTACGTATTGTTTCACTTCGTAGTGTGGCTGAAACAAAGCATAATTCTTGGGCGTAAGAGCACTGTTCACCTCCCCACTTAACTGGGTTTTCTTTCTGTTTTTTAAAAAATTGAAATCTCAAACTATGCTTGATTAGAAGACACACCCTGAATGTTTTCTCTGGGGAAACAAAAACCTGAAAAGGTGCTAGACTTAGGACAGAATTATTAAAACAGTACCTAGGTAGCTTCTACTTCCTGGAAGGCTGGAACTCGGAATGCAGAACTGAGAACTCTGAGATGGAGAGCTGGCCCGCTGAGGGCTCGTGTCACAGAGCCCGTGGGTGTAACAGACTCAGATGGTACCTGCTGAAGGCACGAGCTCTGGCTGAGGACCGCTCCTGAGAGTCCAGTCTCAACACTTGCCGGACAGCTGGGCCTGGTGCTGGCCATGGATCCCTCCCAGGGATCGGAGGTGGGGAGTGGTTACCACTGGTTCTCTACAGTTAATTTTTTCCCCACTGTATTGTGCAGTTGGCCTCATGCAGATCTGGACCAGTGGACTCAGGGAAGTGTGCCTACCACTCGGTTGCCTGCTTGTCCCTGGGAGTGCCCTTCTCCCCGCTACTGCCCAGCCTCTGCGTGGACTGGCTTCCCAGCTTGGAGTGTTTGATTAGCCAGACTGCTTATTCCAGGTAAGCTGGATTTTGAGGAAATCAGTTGGATTTAGGAGGAAAAGCGGTCTATGCAAGACATTCGCTCATTGTCTTTGAGCCTGGGGTAGGGTTTGGCTGGAAGCTTCTAGAATCCCCTTAAACACAGAGGTGGCATGACCCAGGTGTCAGTGGGAGAATTGAAAACTTTTTCATGTAACACATTATTTACAAAATAGATTTGCATGTTCTCAGCAATGCACTTTTCCAACATAACATTTTGGAAAAAGACATGCCTTACTCAGTCCTGCAGAAGATGTTTAAGCTTGAGGAACAGGGAGGGGGTCAGTTCTGACTCTGAAAATGACCGTATTTCAGGATCTGCTCATGTGCAGGCCTGTTTGTTACACAGCTGTGCGGTACTGCCTGTGACGGAGAGAAAGGCTCTTCCCACCATCTGCCCCAATTTCCTTCCCTCTGACTCTACATTTCAGTCCCTGCCGTCCACGAATAGACCCTTTGCCCACGCGGGGCCAGCTGAGGCTCCTGGGCCTCCCTGGGAGACCCGTCCGTGTTTTTCATGCACAGGCTCTGCGGCTTGAGGCTCTTCTCCCTCCCTTGGAGGAGGCCTCTGAGCTGGCTGCCTGGCTGCGGGGGGAGGGGAGCCCCAGTCACGGCTCACCTGCCCTCTGCAGGTGCATGTTTGAGTTTGCGGGCGTGGTCGACAACGTCGACGTGAAGATCATGATTGCCATTGGCGGCGGCTTATTGATTGCCTCGTTTTTTCTCACGTGCTGTTTCCTCTGTCTCTACTGCAAGTTGACCAGCATCCTGAGGTGAGTGGCGTGGGTAAGTGGATGACACGCCTCGCAGGGGCACCCGGGCTCTGCTTGAGCAGGGTCCCTCCTTGCCTGGGGGTGACACCCTGGGTGAGGCCGGATCAGCGGGCAGGTGTGAAAAGGCAAAGGCAGGTGAGGGTAGAATCCTGGCTTCCCCCCTCTGGCTGGGGTTGTGAGCTCATAGTGCGTGTTCTCAGCCAGGCGCTGTGTGTCAGCTCCGTCTGCTGTCCTGAGGCCTCCTGGAGTTGACCTCAGCTGGCAGACGCGGCGCACTGGCTGGTCCCTCCCTGTGTCCCAGGCCCTGCACACTGGAGACTGGGGCTGGCCGTGTGAATGAGCCTCTGCCTCAGTTCACCCAGAGGCCGGGCTGAGGTGACCTCCCGGTGCCTGAGCGGGGAGCTCTCAGGATGTTCTCTCGTTCACCGTCCATGGCCTTGGGGACAGGGAGGTAGCCGTAGTAGTGTGGGGAAGCTGAGCCGTGTACAGACTCTGGGCCCGGCCAGTGTGGCTCAGTGGTTGAGTATTGACCTATGAACCAGAAGGTCACGGTTCGATTCCCAGTCAGGGCATTTGCCTGGGTTGTGGGCTTGACCCCCAGTAGGGAGCATGCAGGAGGCAGCCTGGTCAGTGACCCTCATCATTGATGCTTCTCTTTATCTTTCCCCCTTTTTCTCTCTGAAATCAATAAAAACATTAAAAAAAAAAAAGATCCTGGGGACGCCTAACTGGGGTATAGGCCAGGATAATGAACTGGGAGCTCTTTTCAAAGTGTTTCTCACTGAGTCTGGAGCAGAGGAGCCGTCCCCATGAGGTAGAATGAATGTAAAATCTGGGGAAGGATGGTGAGTCCCAGAGCCCAAGCTCACTGCCTGCTCCCCTCACCCCCAAATGTGCACCAGGCACTGAGCAGGTCAGACTGCTCACACTGGGTGCCAAGCTCGTGGTTTTGTCCCTGGACTCACTTTACCCTCACTTGACATTCATGAAAACACCTGGAAAGGCCTGGGTAAGAATTCGGAGAGGGGCAGAGGTATAATCGCAGGCTGGGTCACATGGTGTGATTAGCTCAGCTGAGAACCTCCAGACGGTTGTAAGAAATGGGCTGTAAAAATGAAATCTAATCGCTTTTTGTAAAATTTCTGAAGGAAACAATGATGATCAGTGGCATCGACACCAGAGGCAGGCGGCTCGGTCTGGTAGGTGGCCATCCTGAGACGCTGTCTCCGCACTGTCCACTGTCAGCTCCCCATGACCGAGCCCTGGAGAGCGCTGCTGTGGAGACTGTCCCCGGAGAGCTGGGCTCCCCCGCGTCCCCTGGCCACGGGCTGCTTCATAAAGTACAGAGGTACATGCCGAGCTCAGCTGCTTCCTGACTGTTCTTTCCAGGTGTTTGGGGCCCCTGAGGGCAGCAGCTGTGCTGTCCCCAGCCCCAGGCACCTAGCACAGGGCTGAGAGTCACCAGGTGTTGGGCAGGGACCTGAAGCTCACCTTTGCCAGTCCCGTGACACTTTTCACCAGGTAAACCTTGAAACTCGGACACAGCAGTACATCCTAAGCGATGATATTTTGCTCATTGGTAAGAACAGGTGGCACACTGCTTGTCAGTTACCAGCACTGAGCTCTGGCCCCTTCCCGGGGACAGCAGAAGCACTTTTCTGAGCTGCAAAGGAAGCGTCCAGGAAGCTCAGGGCAGGAGTGGCTCCCGGAGACGAGCCTGGCTCCGAGCCTTCCAGCCCCTCGCCCGTGCCACGCTGCTCCCCTGCCGGAGCTCCCGGAGCGCCCCGAACCCTCTGCACTGTTAACTCAGGCGCAGTCTGCTGTGAAGGGCTGGGTCTCGTCCCCACCCTGCCCTACTACAGCGGGCACTCACATGTGGCAGCCCTGTAGGAGTGTGGGGGTGATGGGAGCCGGGGGCTGCGTGCATAGGTGGGAAAGGGGGTGGCGGGCTCAGAGCCCTGAGGGAATTCTGTGGTGTAGCCTGGATCACTAGAGCTTGTTGTATTTGGTACGGAGTTTGATTCACGCTCACTGGGCTTTTCACCAAGTTTAGTTAGTTGACCCAATTTCCTTTTAACTGGACCCACCTGATAGGGTGCTTTGAGGAGTCAATGGGATGGCAAAGAGAAAAGTTTGTCATCAAATGTTAANGAGTGCCCTCTGTGCCCATCGGGATGGAGGGGCCTCATTTTTCTTTTCCCATCCTCCACCCAAACCCCCCAATCCTTAAAAACATGCATCTCTGGTGACAGAAAGTAGCCCAGCTCCCTGAGCAGGTGGGCCTCTGAGTCACAACCAGCCAGCTTCTCTCCCTCTAGGCTTCCGGGCCTGAAGGCCTGTGGTCCAGGGAGCCCCACAGTGGAGAATGGGTCTGACCCCCCAGACACGCTGACATGGATCTCCTGCGGCTCTGGGTCAGCAGGTCTGGATCTGGCTCCACCTCACTGAGTCTTGTGAGTGGGTTTAACTGTCTCACCCAATTTCCTTTTAACTGGACCCACCTGATAGGGTGCTTTGAGGAGTCAATGGGATGGCAAAGAGAAAAGTTTGTCATCAAATGTTAATTCAGAAATGAGATAAAAGATCAGTTTTGGTAAGGACTGTGTATACCTTGAGCAGTGCTTACCAGCAGGCCTAAAAGTTATGACAGTTACCAGGCCAAATAGAGTTCTGCAGCTTTTGTGGTTTATATCAGTATTTTTTGAAACTAAGATTCTAATACTGCTGAGGACATTAAAGTCTTTTTGTTGCAGTTACTTTTGAAACACTTCATAATTGCACAAATCATAAATCTATAAATATGAAAATACACAGCTCAAAATTGCTGTTGATTTTTTTTAACAGATTCAGTATTAAGTATATGAGGAACTTCTAGTGTCCAAAGATTTTCCTTATTGATGTTTAGTTGACATTTCAACTTGATTATTTTATCATTTAGGATCCAATTTGATTGTAACAGAAAGCTAGTTTAGCACCCCAGTGTCATCTTTAGCTTCCTTTCCCAAGGTCATCCCAAGGCCCAAAAGGGCTGCTAGAGCTCCAGCTCTAGTATCTGCATTCCAGGAAATAGGAAGGAGGGTGGGCCTCGCCGGCCTGACTGACTAGGCTGCACTGACATTTCTAAAGGCCGTCTCTGTATTTGATTCACCATTGCCCACAACTCACAGAGCAGGCACTTCAAGGTCCTTTTTACAGGATGAATAAAACTACTTCACACACAACAGATTTAATCACTCATTCCAGGTTTGCTGGTTTTCAGAGCATGGGCACATCTGTTTCCTCCCCCAACACTGCCTCGCCCTGGAAACAGTGCACAGCCAGACGCCAACAGTCTGCACCAGTAGCCCGTATGGTTCATCTGATTTCCTGCTGCCAGGGAAAGCACTCTCGAGGGGCCCAGAAGCTGGCATGTGCTGGGCAAGGGTCCGAGTAGCCTCCATGGAGGGAGTGACATGCGCGTGGGCCTGCTGCCAGCCTCAGGTCCCTTCCCAATCGCTGGTATTGGGGTGGTTTCACTCAGGCACAGGGCAGGCGTTGAGGGCAGGCCTCCCCCACCCCGCAGGCAGCAGCCCATTGTCCTCGGCCCACAGGGCACAGCCCAGCCCAGGAAGGCCACGGGGCGGCTCACTCAGCAGCTGTGAGGCTGCAACGCCGTCCGGATGCCCGCGGCCAGCGCTCGTGGGGTGGGGCTCTCCGCAGTGCAGCTCACAGGCAGGCCCCGGGCAGCCAGGGCACGGGCAGTGGTGGGGCCAATGGCTGCGAACTGCAGAGGGGAGAAGGGGCCTCAGGGCACCGGCAGGTGCCAGGGGAGGCTGGAGGGTGGTGGGTGTGGGGCTTGTCCGACATCCTGCTTGTTAGGACACCACTCGGCATGTGAGTTACGCTCCCTGACTGGAACCCGGCTTTATGGCAGCAGATTCCTTCACCTCTGTGATATCATCACCGCTCACCACCCCCAGCGAGACCCTGCCGGGCCTGCGCGCGGCTCAGGTGGTGGAAAGGTCCGGGAGTCAGGACCCATCCCTTGGCTGCACCCTTGCATCCTTGGAAGGACGTCTTAGTTGTGGGCATTTCTGTCTAGTGTCTCAGGGCCCTGGGAGGGGTCAAGTGGAACACAGAACACAGGTGGGGGATGGTGGCCAGAACCCTGGGAAAGGAGAGCAGCTGAGACCAGGGCCCTGGAACGAGAGGGTGGGGACTCACTTCTCTGAACCTACACTCCACCTGTAAACCTGGGAAACAGTCCCATACCCAGGTGTGCCGAGACCATGTGTGCTGGGAGGTGAAAGGCCTCCATTCTGACTTGGGGAGGCCTCAGTGCTGACCTCTGTCCTCCAGCTCCTGGCGGGTCACACCTGCCCTCCCCAGTCCCCAGCCAGTTCAAGACCACACCCAGGAGGTTGTGAGGACTCGCAGACTCCTAACAGTACGGTCTTTGAAAAGCATGAGTATAAATCCTTTGAGTTAAAAGACATGAAAGGAGGAGTGTTTTACAACAGATCATTCAAGATGCTTAGATGGAAAAAAAGGGATAGGATGTTAACACGTGAGCCAAATTCGGAAACAGGCTCAGAGAAGTTCTGCAACTTGTCCACAAGCACCAGCCAGGAAGTGGCGCTGCTGAGCTGTGAGCTGAGGCTGGGGCTGGGACGGGTATGCCTGCCGGGCTGCCGTGGGCACCCCTGGGTCAGGAGTGCTTGGACTTAACGTGGAAACTAGATAATTAGTAAAAAAAAATTTTTAACTTGAAAAAGACCAAAAGCACTGAATACCTCACCTTGATTTGATTGATGTTGTCTCCAGATAACTCCTGAATATACCTGAGACTGTACGTCAGGCCAGAGGGACTGAAAAATGTGATGCTGGCTGGAATGCCCTGTGGGGAAAGCAAGAGCAGCCCCTCTGAGCAGCGCCGAGAAAGAGGGAGTCCCTCAGCCCCTGTCCTGAGAGAGGGCGGGAGGTGTCTGTCTGCATCTAGATGTGGGAAACGTCCATCAACTCAAAAGAGCGCCTCCACCCTCTGGCCTGAAGCCTCCAACGGTCCGGGGCTCCAATTTCCACCCATACTTCTCGGTGGGCAGGGTCGGCCTTCCCAGCGTCTGCCCCAACGCCCCACCAATGCCACACGGGTGAAGAGCAACACCGAGGACACTGCCTGGCTCACTAGGTCTGGGCACTGGACAAGCGCATTGTGTCCTCTCCTTTAATCCTTGTGAAAACCTACTAGATGGGTCTAGTCCCAGCTCACAGATACAGGGGTGAAGGCTCCGAGAGGCCACGTCCTCAGTCCCACGGCTGGAGAGGGAACCACACACAGGCTGGGCCTCACCACCCACCTCCACTGGCGCCCGCCCTGCCCGAGCTCTCACTGGAAACAGCACCCACCTGCGTGGAGTAGTAGCTGTTCAGGTTCACCTGGATCCCCGGGTGTGGCGTCTTCTGATAGACAATGATGCTCTCCATGGGGATCCCTGGACACGATCAAAACCAGGAAACAGTTACTGCCCTGGGGACACCACGGAGTCTGTACTGCAGGGCAGTCAGTGGGGACCTCCGTCTGCCCACCATCCTGAACAGGCTCAGCCGGCCCTCTGCACCTGCTGAACACTAAGTGGCCTGCGGGGGAGGCGAGACGCAGGAAAGGACAGGGCTCTGAAACCCAGGCTTCCTTTGTACCACAGACACCCTCGTTCCCAAGCTGTGTGGGCCGCCCACAGGACTGCCCCGGCCACTCCACCACGGGTGCTGTAAACCAAAGTTAATTTTAGAAGGCAATAAAGAACAAAGGAGCTGCAGCCCAGAAGACAGATTCAGGTAGGGAGGCCGCTTTTTATAGCAAAAGGTCGCTCCCAGGCTCTCCATTAGGTCATTTTGTGGAAGCGAGGTCTCTAGACTGCAGTTCTGACGACCAGGCAGGCAGCCTCTGGGATGGAGGGATCGAGGCTCGAGCAGCTGGGCTGGAGGCGGCTGTCCGCCCTCACAGATCGGCTCCGTCCTTAGGTTTCTGGTGTGTGTGGACCCTGCCCAGGGTCACCCCCGCCCCGTGATGGCTCCGTGGCTGCGTGCTCCTCACTGGAGCTGAGCAGGAAGCCTGCAGCACACGCCTGCCCAGGCCTGCTGTCCCGAGGCCTCTGCAGGGCGGCGCCCTCCCCCCCAGCTGAGGAGAGCGCGGGAGTCACCTCTGTCCTTGAGCACGCTGGGCAGGGTTTCTCCTTTGCGGGCCCCACAGGGAAACAGCAGAGGCAGCGCGGGCGACTCCCCTGCGAGTAAACCAGGTGGTGAGCACGTGGGAACTCGGGCGGCTGCCCGCTCTGCTCCTGGGCCCGTTCCGGTGACTGCGGAGGAAGGAGCAGCTGCCGCCTCGCTGACCTGGTCATAGGAAGGTCGCCGCAGCGGTGTGGGCCAGGGGCCTGGGACACCAGCACCCACACAGCAGGGTCTGCTGCCCCCCAGGCTCCTTCACTCCCATCCCTGAGGCGGCTCCTGGGCAGCAGTGACTATTCGGGATGCAGGCTTGCACCTTGCCTGGGGTTAAAGGTTAGAGGTCGGGCCCGATGTGGGCACTGGAGCAATACACTCTCTACCCCTGCAGGGTGGCACCTAAGGTGGCTCCAGCTCACAAAGAGGCAGGGAGATGGCAGCCAGAAATGGCTGTGCAGCCATGCCCAGGACAAGAGGCATGTCCACTGCTGTCCCAGTCAGCACAGCGGCCACCAGCCAAGGGCCCAAGGGGCCTCCGGCAGGCCCCACCACAGAGGTGTGCAAGGGGCCTTCAGAAGATCCCAGAACCTGCCCCTCGCAGCATCTCTCCTCCAGGTCCAGCTGTGTTGAGCTGCTCATTCCTGTGGGTCACTACCCGGGGGGGGAGGGGATCCCAAATGCCTTGGTAAAGCCCAGGTGAAAGTCCTCATTAGCAGCTGAGATGGGTTTACTTGGATGTGCTAACTGCGGGTTGAAGATGTCTTAGGGCCTCAGACAGCTGGTAATAACTCAGAGGAGGTAATGGGCTTCCGGAGCCTGGCCAGTAGCCTTCACGGTGAGGGCAGGTGCTCCCGTCTCCCTCCAGCCTTGGCCCAGTTGGCTGGAGCACCAGTGTGACAGCTCAGAAGAGACACGGAGCCTCCCTGCCCTGTGTCTGCGAAACAAGGAGCAGCGCGAGCCGGCTCTGGGCCGGGCAGTGAGGACCGACTCTCGTCTCTGTCCAGCAGAACTAACGCCTCAGCTGGGAGCAGCCAGACCCCCTGCGCTGGAAGCCGGCTGGGCCGCCTGTTCCACTAAGGAGCCTGGGCGTCAGGGTCATCCCACCAACAGCTATTCTCTGTCACCCAAGGCCCTTCACCCCAGGATGCCAAGAGCAACCCTCCACATTGATTTCCACATTTAAAAGGGCTTTGACGTGTTTAAGGCGACCATTACCTCTTAAAAGGATATTAGAAATGAGAAGCCTGGAGTTGGGTCATTCTGGACCCTCCCAGCCCCGTGACCTGTGAGAGGAGCCCAATCACAGGGAGCCCCGCCCCCCAAATGTTTTGCATTAAGTTTGAGTTGTCTCCTCCTCCGGGTGGGGCCGCAGGAGATGGGCTGAATCAGTGGGCTGCACATGGGGCGACCTTCTCTACTCACTGGAGCAGATGTACTCCGCGAGCTTTTCTGCGTTCCCACAGTGCTCTCCTTCTGCATCCAGGCCGATCTTGTTCACTGGGAGATAAGAAAAAGTACCGTTCTCTACGTGGCAATTAATGTCCCTGTTCTTGTGCAGCCTTTATAATGTGCAGACACAGGGCCCTGCTTCCTGAGTCACAGAGGGAGTCCTTCCAAGGCCGGCCTGGTGGGAGAGGCGCAGGCTCTCGGCTGATGGAGGGTGCTGGGTCCTGGGCCCAGATTCCTAGACCTGTGGCTATGGGTGACGCGCCAATTTCCCTGAGTCCCACTGAGCTTGTCTATGGGGGGAAGACACAACCCAATGGGGCTGTTTTAAGATTATATGAGATGATTAGAGCAAACTGCTGGCCATCTCAGTGGAGCTCAAGAAAAGCGGTTTTCTCAGAGGTGGGACCCTTTGAGACCTACGGACACTAGAGGGAGGCCTCATTTGGGAGGAGCCAAGGCCCCCATCCAGGAAGGTGTTAGTTGACATGGCGGGAATGAAACGGACGGGAGGGAGGAATGGTGTCCTGACAAGCTGCCAGGGCTGCAGGTGACCTAGGGTGAGGGTTCTGCCAGCCACTTTGTGCGACTTCCATCACGAACTGAGTAGCTGACACCCAGGCTCCCTGCACTTTCCACTAGGGTGGAGCACTAGTCACCCTGCAGAGGGAAGGCCCCGGGGGGCTGGGTCAGCAAGGAATGTGGAACTCCTCTGAGAAAGGAGGTGCTCACACGAGCCTGGCTAACACCAAACTGCAGCTCTCACGTCGACACCACCAGCCTTTCATTTACAGGTCATGAGAAACATGCCGAGTCCAGGAGAAAAGTCACCTGCAACTGTAAACTGTCCAGCAACAAAGCCCTTGCTTATGCTGTGATGCCAGACTCCTGACTGGATTGGGGTCTCAGCCAACCTAAGAACCTTGAAAACTTCCCGGAGCAGCCCTGGGGCCCAAGTACACAGTGATGTTGGTACTCATGGCGACAATTGTGTGCATTACTCCTAAGTACCCAGTGGGAACCATGCTGAGACTGTTGGCTTGACTGATTAGTTCAGCCTGCAGCCCGTCTTCTCCGTGGTGGTGGTGGTGGTGGTGGTGAGGGGCGGGCTCCTGCTCTGAAAGTTCCTGCTCTAATCACAGGGCTGGTTCCCCTGGCAACTGGCCCCAACTTTGGGGCCTTTTAAAAAGTCAGCGCATCAAAATGAACTCAGGTGGAGGTGAAAGGGGGTGGTTATGAGTAACAACAGACACCTTTACCTTTACCACCTAGGAAATAAGTTTTAGGAGCTCTGTGCCAGGAACAGGGACGAAGGCTGAATACAGATTTCTTATCATAAATCAACACATCACAGTCCTCTTTTGAGGTGTTATTTTTACCTCCATTGCTTACCCAGAGAAGCGGTAGCATTTCCAACCACATACACAGACTTGGCATTCCATTTTCCTCTCAGAGACTTCTTCCAGGCTGTAACACATGAAATCACATGTGAGCTACAGAGACCAGAGGCCACGTGGACTGCTGCCCAAGGCCGCCTGCTCATCCTAACCCTGTTCCGTCAGACAGACTGTGGCTGTTCAGTCTGAACCCAGGTTCTGTCCGCCTGGTTTGATGGAGGGGAGGAACAGGGGCTCAGTCAGTGACGCAGTGCCTGGCACAGCACGCGCTGTCCACTCGTCACCCCTTTGAGGAGAGACTGGGCTGATCGGTTCTGACGGGAGGCATGACCACCTGGCAGGGGAATACTTAGGCTCCTCGGCAGCGCTGTCGGTCTGGGTGTTTAGGAGGCTGCAAGGTGGTGCATGAGCACCAAGGAAGAGCCCCGTGGAGGGCGCGGGACCCGCCCTCACCTTCGGTTTTGTCATCCCCCAGGCACAGCTGCACAGCTTCCACGGCTCTGGGGCTGGTGAAAATGAGTCCTCCATATGCTTCCGGGCGAGACAGCTGCACACAGACACCAACAAGGTATTTTATGTGATGGCTCGGCTCAGCATTTCCCAGAATGCCAATGCCCACAATAGTGGGCAAACAACTTCATCTGTCCATCTGTCCATCCACTCAACTTACTGAGAGCTGAGTGTGCTGAGTGTTCTAGGTGAATTCATTACTCGTAGCATCTCCCTCAAGAGCTCAGAGTCGAGGGGAGAGACAGCAGGTGCTGTGTAGAGAGGTGGGTGTAACCAGAGCAGAGGGGCAACAGGACTCCGCTGGGGCTGGGTGGGGTGCAAGCAGGAGGGCAGACCTGACCTGCATCTGTAATAAAACTGGACTATTCGCTGGGGTGGTGTCCATGCTGAAGCTCTGATTTTCAAAGACAACGGTGATAAAATCTATTGACAATTTACTCTGAGCAGGCTCTGGGCTGCTGTGTACACCCCCTCCACTGAATCTGTGAAGGTTCCTGTGAGGTGGGGGCTGTTCTCACCCACCAGTTACACAGGCGGGACGAGGCTAAGTAACCGGCCAAGGGAGTGGCTGAGATGCATCGTGCTCACTGCATAGCCAGAACCTGACGGAGAGTTCAAAACCCCCTCAACCCTCAGGGACCAGACTGGCTGGAGGTGATGGAGGTTCCTGTGGAGACTTGAGGATTTTTCTGACCACGAGGTCCTAGAAATGACCTCAAATGATGAATGAGGCCCTTTGTTCCCTTTCAAAGCTGCTTATGGAAGAGCAAGCGTTAAGTGTGCCCCTCACAGTCCCTCAGATCGCAGGCCAAGTGCAAGGGGACGTGAAGATGCCAACTCAGTGTTTGCTGAACTGAACAAACAATCAACATTCAGCTCAAAGGGAACTGAGGAAACAGGAAGGCTTCCCACAGTGGCTGGCTGGTTGCCATGCGCAGAACAGGAGGGAGGGCCTGGTGCTAACGGCTATGGAGCCGGGGGAATGGGGCTTCAGGCACTGAGGCCTTAACTTGGAACATCAGGCTTCACTGGACTGTCTCAGGCAGTGCAGGTCCCTCCCACCCTGGGTGGCAGAGCGAAGGCTGTGGGGACATGTCCTGGTCTTGAGTCTCAACACTGCCTCTGGTTTGCTGAGGCTTCTGCCAAGCTGCCCGACCTGGGGCCTCCATCTCTAAAACAGGAAAACTAACACCTCCCTGGCGGCTTTGCAGAGGTCAGAGTGGGGTGGGAGGGGAATAGGACAGGGTGTGAACTGCTGTGAGCAGTGCCCTCCCCACAGCCTGCTCCACCTGCTCTCCTGGGCGGCCTCCACATCAGGGTGGAGCAGCAGGAGGTGGCCAGGCTGAGAACCCAATGGCAGCCGGTCCTCAAGCCGAATCCTGGAGCTGGCAGGGCTGTGCTGCCCTTTTAGAAGCTGGGTCGTAAAATGAGGGGAAGGAAGAAAGTCCTTCCGGCTTGGGATTCTGCAGAAACCAAACATGTCTGAGAAGTTACGGTGCTCAGACACTGGCAGACCTTACCTTCTCCGAGAAACTGGGAAGAGNAACCCAACATGTCTGAGAAGTTACGGTGCTCAGACACTGGCAGACCTTACCTTCTNGAAACCAAACATGTCTGAGAAGTTACGGTGCTCAGACACTGGCAGACCTTACCTTCTCCGAGAAACTGGGAAGAGACAGAAACTCGAATGATAAAACAGGGATCAAAGTGGCTTCAAGTCCATACAATCCTAATTCCTGCAAATAAAAGGGTACAGTCTGGGTTGGCCAGGGTGCTTGGGAACAAGGGAAGGGTTCTGGCATCAGACTGACAGCTTACTCTGTGCCAGCTCCGCAGCTCTAGTAGCCTGGCCCCTGACCTCATTGCTACGGCCGCTGTGTTTTCGGGACCAGGAGGCTCAGGCACTTACCCTGATGTACGGATCCTGGCCACCGTCCTCCGTAGAGTCTTTCAGCAAAAGAACCTTCATTACTGCCTGGCAGGCCTTGCAGGGCCTGTGACAGAGCAGGGAACGGATCTGAATTAGAGCTGAGAGGGAGGAAGGTAATCTGCTGGCTGGCAGGGCGGGCCCTGCACACTGACTCAGCGTTAGTGGGCTTGTTCCCCGAGCCCCTGCCCCTGATAAGGCCAAGGGAGCAGTGCTGCCGCTCGATAGCTGAAGCCTGCAGGGAAAGCCAGCGCCCCAGCGGGTGGGGAGAGGCTGCAGGAGAGAAGTGAGGGGCTTATCGACCAGTAGAGAAAGGGGGTCTCATTCTGGAAGGAAACAAGTGAGTAATTCCTTCCAGTTCGAGCACAGACTAGGCTGCTCGTAAGCTCTTTAGGAAAGAATTACATTTACTCTACTTCTCAAATGGTGTCTTATAAATGTTGTCAAGTATCGTGAGAGAACCTTTCAAAAGTTTCCTAACCACCTAGACAACTCCTCAGTATGTATCAAAAGCCCTGCCTCCTCCCTCCCTCCCTCCCTCCCATTTCCCGTCTGAGAATCAACACTAAGGCAACGCTCACAAATGCGCGCAAAGATTAAAGAGGACCCTCCCGGGACCCCCTTATCACTGGGGTACAGATGGCGTTCGGCTGGAGGCAGGCAGCCGAGTCCAAGCGACAGGGCAGGCGAGCGGGGTCAGGAATGGAAGGGGGTGCTGGTGACCCCGCGGGGCGGGAAGGGAGCGGGGTCAGGAATGAGACCAGGTGCTGGTGACCCCACGGGGTCAGGAATGAGACCGGGGGCTGGTGACCCCGCGGGGTCAGGAATGAGACCGGGGGCTGGTGACCCCGCGGGGTCAGGAATGAGACCGGGGTCTGGTGACCCCCGCGGGGTCAGGAATGAGACCAGGGGCTGGTGACCCCGCGGGGTCAGGAATGAGACCAGGGGCTGGTGACCCC